CATCTCTACAGAGGTCGCCATGTTTTTTTTACATTAGTCCAAACTAGACAAACTGAGCACCTTTTGAGTTTTTATGACAATCAAAGGCTACCACAGTTTCTTTTTCATGTTTGGAAGGGGATGGTGATCTCTTTTATTTGTCCCACATAAAATTCTAAGTGTAAAATGACGATTCACTGGGGCTGCGCTATTTCTTACATATGAGCACTAATTTCCTGGAGTCTCCACTATTTTATTTTATGCTGGTATAATGAGATGCGAATTGTAAATTTAGAGGAACAGAGGTGCTAAAATGCCGATTTTGTTATCTTTGGACAGAGCCAGGGGAGCTTCATATTTACTGTTTAGATGTAAGACTTATAGTGCTTCATCTGATTCTGGGCAAGAAGTGCATTTCCCAAAATATCACTATAACTTTTCCCTTAAATTACTTCATATTTCTATAAATACAATGGTTGGACATTTACAACACAAGAGCCCCTCAAGGATTCATCTTTGAGGACAATGACATTTGCATGGCAACAGTATACACCAGACCCCCCATTCTCGTATTTGTATGCCACACCCAGACTTTTGGAGATGAACTACAGTGTGACTTCACGCCATGCTGACCAGACATGTACCCCGTCACAGTAATCTCACATTATGACAGACTGAAAGGTTGGCCTTTATTCACCCCTAACAGCGTCTATTCATCCCCGACTCTCCTTTCTTTTCACTGAAAGGGCCAAGTGGCCTCCTGTGCCAGTGGAGGGCTCATCTGTGTGTAAATGATCTTGATGCTCGGTTGCATAGTTCATAACCACAGACCTTTCATCAGACACAGGGAGGTCCTCCACATCAACAGCTCTCCCTCTGTGAGTTTTGTCATGATTATGATGAGGATGGGGGATTATGTCCAAGAGCTCTGATGGAGATGTTACCAACACTTAACAATCAGTGTCAGGCATAGGAAAAGATTAAAATCCAATTTTCGCACTTTAAAATTATGTAAAGATGGTTAAAAACCTGAGTAGCATAAGTGATTGAGCCATGAGTCATGATTAATTTACATTTTTTATTGAAGTTTACCAAACTCAACATGGACCAAGGCACTCAAATGATTTTACTTTGCTGAAATAAAGGTTGGTTTGTTCTGAGGATTTTGGCCTTCTATACAACCTGCCATTACTGGCCTACAACCAGAAAACAGATTATGATAAATGAATCACAAATATCCAGTAGTTATACCATACAAAATGAGTTGAATATGGGCTTGAATACAATTATTTTTTCCCTTATTTTTTAACAGTAGGACTACAATCCAACACAAAAAGTCAACAATAACAATAAACGTCAACCTCAAACAGTTAAAGAGTACAAAATGTTTTAAATATATTAAATGCTCTATTAGCAACAGGTTTGTCGTTGAGAAAATGTTAGCAAGAATTGACAGACAGGATGTAATAACCATTTACAACTGTGTACAAAATTAATGATGTCGTGATTCCCGATGTACCTACATTCTTTGTAATGCATTAACTGACTCAAAACTTATATTACTTATTTCAGACCCAGAAGTTGAGATACTTATTTCTAATCTGTTAGCTTTGGGCTGTTGGATGTCAGAAGCATTCTGACAGAAACACACACAAACACAAACATCCCAGTAGTTAGCTTTGTTTCTGCTGTGTTCTTGTCACTTGTGTATTCATAGACATATACAGACAGAACTTTTTTTCATCTCATCTGTACCTGTACCGTCATGGTATCCGAAGCAACAGTAATGGTATATATTTATAGAAGGGCCACAGACAGGATTTTAGAAACACTGCGGTCACGGTTACATATGATAAAACTTATGTGACACTGTGGTGCACAATTAATATCAAACATTTCACATGCGACGTACCTGAAAATGAATCAATATCTGATTTTTTCTATGTGAAGTGATGATTAACGTGCTTAAGATGAGAAATATGTTTAACGTGCTTAGGCCACATATATTTTAAAAGTATAATTGTACAATATTAAAGGAGCTATATGTAAGTTTTTGCTTCTGTTACGTATAGCCAATGTTAGCATTGATAACTGTATCATAGCTACTTGCCAATGTAACAGTTCCTCGCAGCATGAACTGAAGATGTATTATTCTCTATAGCTTGTTAACAATGATGGCTGAAGCTTTTGGCTAGTGACCATCAACCCCACCCGCACCTGGCAACAAACCATGCTTGGCTAAAGTGAAAACTTACATAAGACACCTTTAAGTTTAGAAGTACTGGAATCAGCTCATGAACTAGCCACAATATGTTAGTTTTTTAATTGTACAGTGTGACCCCCCCCCCACTCCACATTGCTTAAGCCCCCAAAACACCAAGGATATGACCCCAGTGTCCTCAATGGTAGATATACATATATTTTTATTTCTGTTGTGCCAATGCATTTTGCCCATCCTTGCTTTAGCTTTAAGGAGTTATAAGTCCCTAATTTGTAGCTACATATCGCAAAGGTTTTTTTTTTGCTACATAATGATACTTCCCTTTCAGATTGATAAGTATAATCTGATTTCCCTTCTTATTCAGCTGAATGTCTCAAATGGGGTAAAAAATAAATCAGTGGGCCACGTTTTGCTTCTAAGCCTTGCCATCCCTTTTCAGTCCTCTCACAGTCTCTTAAAGTCACCCAAACACTACTTTACATCCACTTCAGACACACAGACGAAAACTCTAACCAGACAGATTCTTGAAGAAAGTATTATTCCATGGTATTGGGTTTGGACTGTGTTGCTGAACATCATTAGAAAATGGAGAAAATAACTTAAAAGTACATATCTAACTCTACAAATGTTACAGACCTCAACAAATGTACATTTATGTGACAGGAGGATGGAGTAATAAAAATAAAGATCAGAGCTAGTTCAAGACTATTGCGAGGAGGCAGGCGAGCCAGCCAGTTGCCGCTCAGAGTTCAGACTTGGGAAGCTAGGATGGGAGCATGGGCAGGAAATGAGTGGATGGGTGTCTTCGTCGAGCCTTGTGACCTCGCCGTGGCTTCCCGCGGCCGTTTAGTGAAACAAACATCTGCCTGCCGCCATGCTTCCACCGCAGTGAGGCATACGTGTTGTAGCCGTTCTCTTCAATGCGCTCCTTGAACTTGCAGCTCGGGTTGTACTTCACCTGTAACCAGAAGGAATAAGACATGAGATATTTAGGAGGTTATAGATGAGTGTACGGGCTCACCTGCTATAAGAGGCCAGTTCCCATGAATATTGTTACAGTACGATATTTTGCAGGTGTTTGTAGTTGATAAATTGAGATTTTCTGACAAATAATTTAGCAAAATTATTTTTTTTCTTAGTCCACAATCTAAATGTTTAGTCTAGAATTTATGAATTGGTGCCCCTAAATGCAGTGCAGATACAATGATGTGACATTTTGAGACTGTCTCTGAAACATCATCCTCATTCACCTAATACAAAAACCCTTAAAAAAAACTTTCAAGAAACAATGTTTTGGTTATTTAGGATAATCCACAGATCTCCCAGTTAAATTTATGCTGTGACCCATCCGTGAAGGCTGATCACAGACCGAGACTGATGATAATCTGTGAAATATCTTGTGTAACTGGGATGTTGTTATTGGACGGAAACTTCCATTTCTGTTCAATAATATTTTGTTGGATTGGGAGAGGAAATGTGAAACTTTGACAAATAAGAGTAAATGGAAAAATAAGTTATTTCTGGTGGATATGCATGACGAGGTTCTCAGATGTACCAAAATATAACCACAAGAGATTTTGCTACATTCCCTTTTGCAGATCGTTGTCACGCTGCCATAATGTCACGCTCTCTGTGATAGCATCAAGATAGTGTGAGCTTAGCATGAATCACCTGCCCTTTTGGTATGATGGGACAATGCAGAGTTAACTAAAGGCCCCAGATCTATTTCTGTCATGTCTTCTGTGTTTGTTGGACACACTTGTCTTATCACTGCTGGCTGACTGATTGCTGAAGATCTGAATACATGAGCTAGACACCACACTTTTCACTCACCCACAAAGAGAGGTGATTACTTTTGAAAGCTTGCTGTGCAAAGCAACAATTGGCAGATGACACGCACACCTTGAAAAGAGCCCAGCTGGCTCTTTGTCATTGCTGGTTGGGTTTCTTTTTTCTGTTATATCTATTTTGACAGTGGAACAAGCATACTCAAACTGCAGGTATCATCAACCAGGTCCCAGGTGTACAGCCATGATTGATAGTTACTCTGAACCTCCTCTTGACGTTCCAGCAGAAGATTCCAGAGATGTCACTTCAGCAGAATCAAACATGTTTGGATAGGCACTCATTTACGACCCCTATATGTATCACCCCCTCCCAGCCATTCCATCTTGACCTCCAGAAACAATGTTGCCAGGTTGTATACTCACCGATCCAAAGAGTGTGCCTTTCTTGGACATAGCTAAGTACAGCCCGGTGCTGACAGATTTGATGGCAACAACTCCCACACTGACAGATCGGATTTCCATCAGGCCTGGAAAATAAAAGAGAACAAGAGTCTGGGTTAGAAACATCAAGCTTTGGGAGTTCCCCCATCAAAAGCCACTCTATCATTAGTGATTACAATACCAGACAACCATATGCTCTGGGGAGAGAGATCCCAAGACAAGAAGAAAAAAAACAGGACAATGAGAGAGCTCACTTTTTGAGATCAACTAAGAGTTTTGGTCAACAGGTGAAAGTTTTGCTGTACTGGAAAAGGCAAAAAGTTATAGTTATCTAGTTTGGTATAATTGCATAATGTTTCAGATGTACCCCAAAGTCCTGAATGACACACACTTCTATGGCAGACATACACAGTGCCTGAGCCTGCACAGTGTCAGTCTGCCTTGCTACATGCATTCATAAAAGCCTCCTGACTCCAGATGTGACACTCCATCATGATGATACCCAGTTTTGTTTACCGGGGGACACACAGCCTGTGTCTGCTGGCCACTTAAACAGCCTCCCTCACTCACTTTACCCCATGAAAAAGCTGGCAAACTTGTGGGCTAATTGTTTCCTCTGGGCACTGATTGCAAACAAGTCCCATGTGGCTCTCTCTTGATCTGGTTTTTGTCTGCATACAAAATTGAAGGCACACACCCATTGTCATGGCTACGACAGGGAGATGTTTTGGAGATGACCTGAGGGCTCACCGCAGGCTCCTGAATAGAAACTAATTGCTGGAGAAGAGGCTCTTTATGATGGGTTTTTTTTTCTGGTTTGATTTGCCCACTTACACCTTCAAAAGCACCCGTATGTGGCCTGCTATCTGATATGAGCACAAAATCTTCGTTTTACACCCCTGAAAGCCACATCTCTGCAGATAAAACATGTTATGCTGCTCTTCAAAGGCTCGGTACCGCTGGATATTTGTGGAAAAGGATTGTTGGATCTGCAAAGATGCTGTAAACGCAGTCCCAGATCACAGTGCTGAAGGGGCATATTGACCCAAAGCTGTTAGGAAATGAAGGAGTGATAAAAGCTGTACCCAACTGACTAACCTCCGGCTGCTTCTGTACAACCACAGATCTTGTACAGGGTAGAGTTCCGGAATAGTTTTACTGATTAAATCCATTCAGCAATGAAAAATAAATGCACACACACCAAGGGTTTCACGAATGTATCTCTCTTTGCAGATTTTGAAGCTATTGGTTTTTGCAAATCCAAAATTTGTTTGGAAAGACAATTATCTATCTAATCATATCCATACTACTACATTCAATTGAAACTAAAACAAACTCCATCCACATGAACATGTTGCCCTGTATCAGTAATAATCTGCTTCTATACTAACACAACTGAAATGCATTCAGTGACCAATCACGTACACTGGGCATGTGCGTAAACAGGACGCAGACTGGCTACTCTGCAGTTGGTTACTTATAGAAAACACTACAAAAAAGAAACAACAACAGTGAAAAGAACAGGGTTTTCTATTCTTGGACAAACAATGTGTACTAGTATATAAGTAAGTATAAGCAACATTTTGCCTTCGCTGCTAGCAGTTGAGCCATGACAGACAAGAACCAATAAGGAAGCGAATGTCATCCTTTACAAATGTCTGATTTTGCCTGTCGGTTCTTTAATGTCACTGGAATTTTCAAACAGAAACAGAGACAACATTTCCAAAACTCAGTTTTAGGCTCTCGAAAACGCCAGAGCAGTGTGGACTGCATGTGTAAACGTGGTAAAGAGATGTGCATTAATACTGAAAAGTCGTGGTGTGTCCTGGGTGGCTGCTATTACCATCATCCTTCTGTTGTCGGTCTCAAAGAGCACCAGAAACATAAAAACACATCTGCTGCTCCCATCACTCTAAACAAGCAACTATCTCCAGAACATCACTGGTCGTGCTTACCAAGTGAGGTCATTTACTTTAGTCCCAGACACAAAGAGCTACAAAGAGTTAAAAAGAGGAAAGAAAAGACAGGAAAGGTAAACAAACACAAACTCCTGTTGAGTGTCTTTCTTCTCTGACAGGAGCGTGTAAATTAAGCCCTCTCTCAGCTCACCACAGCTGCAGGGACGGGGGGAATGGCTCAGTTGAGTCCATCTAGGTATCTAGCCCAGCTGCACCCCCATCATTCCTACGTTGCCTCTGATCCTCCGAGGAAACATTAACACTTTGATGGCAGTCTCCTCTTTATGAGCTGTGTTTACAAACACCGGGTGTGCTATGGTGGCACCTGGAGCGTGCAAGGGACTCATAAGCAATTAGCTGAGGCCCGGCTGGTGATTGGAGCACTGCAAGGATTTATGGGGGATTAGTCCAGGCCTATGAAAACCGCTGGTGCCTGAAAGTGGTGCCAGCAGTAATTGCCTTTTTTTTCTTTCTTGCTGGTTCAAGTTCCAGGCACAGTAGGTGTGTTGGAAGCTACAGTTTGTCACATCTGAGACATTACTAATACCAAACCAATCAAAAACTTGGAATTGTTAACACAGTTTATTAAAAAAAGAATGGAGGGAAAATTAGAAGCATCTATTGTCCAATATCTGTAGTGACAAGTTTTCAGGTTTGTTGGCTATCATTTTGTGAAGAACTTCAACTAAACTCCCCACGTCTTCCTTATGGCATATTAAATATTGTCCTTCCTCTCTTCAGGACTACTCTACATGTCACTTCATTCATACGTGGCGGTGTCGCAGCCAGCAGACACAAAGATCTGAGGACATAAACTGGGGATTTCACGTTGTCTACAGAAATCACTTGGGCTCTGGACGCTTGACCACACATCTATAAAGACCAGTTAGATCCATATAACTCACAGTCCCCCTTTGAAAAGTCACTCCATTGTGTTCGAAGCCTGAGAAATCAGAGTGAGGCACTGCAAGCTATTAGAGGGTTTTCTTAACTGCTAAAATACAAAGGTCACTTTAGTGGAAGGACGGCTTATATTGAGTTTGGCCTCCAGACCTGAAGAAGTGTACTGCAATATTGATAGAGTTTTATGAAAGTATAGTTTTTAACTGGAATTGTTTCAACATTCATCATAAGTTTTTTAAAAAGATGTCGAGATATATGTATGATTTAAGAAATACCCCACAATTTAAAGTGTAGAAATTGGTAAATCATGGCTTTATAATTCCTTTTAAACTATAATTTTGGTTTAAATCGAACTATAGCCTTGTGGCTCTGAATATGCATTTAAATTACTTTACATAAGCACCGTGGAAATACTCATGCCTTTATTAACTGTTTCTTTCTTTAAATATGCTCTGTCATAAATTGTTGGGAAATTGATGCAGACAGGCACGAATATGCAATAAAATATATTTTAGTCGAAAAACTGACTGTATTTACAAAACATTTAAGTGACACTAAGAAAAGTTTTAATGATTTTCTCTCAAAAAACTTTTCAAACCTTTTCAACAATATCATGATTAAATAGCGCAGCAAGAAGCAATGGAGACAAATTGACTCTTTGTTCTTGAGTTGCATTGGAAACTGAAGGTCACCTCTTCACCACGGTCAGCGGAGCAAGTATCAACTGATGGCCCTATTGAGCTCATGAAAAAGGTGCTTTTGGCTTCCCACTTGCAATTGGCCAGATCTCTTAACCTTTGACATGTTTTGGCTGCGACTGTCAATAAGCTCAAGCTGCCATTACAAGCAAATCCCTCACTATACATGTCTAGTCAACTGTGGACTTGCTATTTATTTCTCCTCTATGGGATTTTTAAAAGCATAGAAAAAGTCTTTTGCCCATGTCTTTTTTTACTCTTTCTTTTCTTTCCGTCCCCCATTTTTTGGAAGTTGGCCCATCGTCAGATCATTCAAGCCTTTTCTGACCTTGAAAAAAAAGGCAGAAAAGGCAGAGAGAGACACTCTCACGGGGTTCCCTTTTATCAGACTTGGTATGGGGGAGGAGGAGGAGGGAGCCAGTACAGGGTGAAGGTGCTGGGTATAAGATTGGGGGTTTGGGTGTTGGTGGGAAGGCTGCCCCCCCAATAAGTCTTTGTTGCTCACCTGAGAGGTGAAGAGCTAGACAAGATCTTATTAATGACCAAGCATTTTCAATAGAGCTCTACAAAGTGTGGCAAAATGGTTCCTTCCATCACAGACTTAAAGCAGAAAAGAGTGAAAGACTGAGCAAAGGGAGTGAGAAAAAGAGATTTTTCTGCTCCTTTCCTCCTGTCTTCTTTTTGTTCCTTTTCCCAGGTCTTTAATTTCTTGGGTTGCCCCCTTGAGCAGCCCTCCATGGCTCAGTGCTCGACTAGAGCGGAGCCTGGGAATCTCGGAGTTCCCGCTGTGCTCCTGCTCTTGATTGACATACCTTTTCAATTATTTCACAGTTTGCTTGCAGTTTAAATGAAGAGGGCCCTGTTGTTTTTTTCCTTCTGCCCTCCTTTTCAAAATACAAGCTTTTCATGTTGGGTCTGGGCTGCCGGGCCTAATGGCTGTGACCAGCACCTTTGATCTGCCATGACCCCCTCGAAGGGTCTGGTACTGGGCGAAGCAGCCGCCTGTGTGTATCAGCATGGACAAAGGCTGCATCACTCACGTTTGCTTTAAACACCTTGAGAGATTACCATGAGAACGGGCTCTAGTGGAGGCCTTCACAGGTCGTGTGATATGGAAACTTGCATGTTAACCCTTGAACGTACAGTAGAAATTCCGACCAATCATTAGCAAGTACTTCCTGAGAAGGAGGGAATGTAACCTGCGTACAATTTACATTTTCACCAATAAAGAAAAATGTCGCTGCATATTTAAGCAACTTTGCAAAGCCACTGCCTGTTGTTCATTGCTTTGTAAGATATGTATATTTACATTTGTTAATTTCCCAATCTTGGGACAATAAAGGAATTCTAAAAATACTTATGTTATACTCTACAAACAAATCAATAGAATGGAGGATACTCTCACTAATTTCTTCCATGTGGTGTCTTTTGCACGTTGATGCAGTGGAAGCAAGCCAACCTCTCATTCATTTAAAAATGCCTTTAAACACAAATTGGATACAACAGTTGCTTGCACAGCTTTATCAA